GCTCCTGGACAGCACTCCAATTAGACAACATCCTTACCGAGTGAACCCAGAAAAGAGGAAACTTATACAACAAGAAGTGGACTATCTGCTCCAGCATAATTTCATTCGGCCAAGTCAAAGTACTTGGAGCTCTCCGTGCTTGTTAGTGCCAAAACCAGGGGGAACCTGGAGGTTGTGTGTAGATTATCGTAAACTGAACAAGAGCACTACTGTTGATGTATTTCCATTACCACTGTTGGAGGAGTGTATTGAATCAATAGGACATGCTAATTATGTAAGTAAACTTGATTTATCTAAGGGATATTATCAGATTGCCTTAACTGATTATGCTAGGGAAGTCACTGCTTTTGTTACACCTGATGGTGCTTATGAATTCAATGTCATGCCATTCGGTTTGAGGAATGCACCTGCCACCTTTCAAAGACTCATGAATTTCTTACTCAAGGATGTGCCAGATTGTAGGGCCTACCTTGACGACATTGTTTTATACAGTAAGAATTGGGCAGATCATCTTTCAGGCCTTAAGCAATTGTTTACGGTGTTGAAAAACGCCAATTTAACAGTGAATATGAATAAGTGTAGTTGGGCAAGAGGGACTATAACCTATCTTGGGCATGAAGTAGGACAAGGTAAGATAATTCCTTTACAAGATAAGATACAAGCCATTGTGGACTACCCAGTGTTAACCAGTAAGAAGGGAGTCCAAAGATTTATCGGTATGTGTGCTTACTATAGGCGGTACTGTAGAAATTTTTCGACAGTTGCTGCCCCATTGACAAATTTGTTGCGAAAGCAAGTAAAGTTTAAGTGGACTCAAGATTGCCAGAATTCATTTCAGAACTTAAAGGGCATATTGTCAACGTCACCTGTTCTTGCTAGTCCCCAATTTGACAAACCTTTTATTTTACATATTGATGCATCAGATGTTGGAATAGGTGCTGTGCTTATACAAGTTGGTCTAGATAATATTGAGCATCCTGTATATTATTACTCTAGAAAATTTAATTCAGCCCAGAAGAACTATTCAGTGGTAGAAAAGGAGGCGTTGGGTCTCATATTGTCAATCAAGAAATTTGAAATTTACCTTTCAGGTAATAAGGTGCTAGTGTTTACTGACCACAATCCCCTTATATTCATTAATATGATGAAAATCAAGAACCAACGAATTCTGCGCTGGTCATTGTTTCTACAAGAATTTAATGTTGAGATTAAACATATTCCAGGCAGGCAGAATGTCATTGCTGATGCTTTGTCCAGAAGTTTTGTATATGATGTACCATGAGTGAAATATTCTTTTATTTAACATTTTTACTTCAGAAAAAATGCCATTGATCTTCAATCCATTGCATTTTTTTTCTTGTAGGTGGAAGTGTTACGTACCCCTATTGGATACGTATATAAATATAAAAATTACTATTTTCCATGCATCATTACTTGTATACGTGCTTATATATTATATCATTAATTGTATGTGTATTATATCATTACTTGTATGCTTATATCAGTACTTGTATGTTCATGTATGCTTATATCATTACTTGTATGTGCTGATATGTTATATTGTGGAAATGATCAGTAGGTGGACCAAACCGTGGGAAACCGTTATTTTTTTGTGTGTGTGGTGGTCAGCGAGTCAGCTTCCCGTGGGAGAGTTATATTTTGTACTGATCAGCTGGTGGCAACACAATGGGAAACTGTTATTATTTGTTCATCTAGACGGCAATATTGTGGGATACTACTTCCTGCTATGATGGGCAGTTGCCAGCAATTTCTTTTTATTTTATAATTATATAGCTATTATATTAATAACTACATTACTTCTGTTTGTGCATGTAAATCTGATCATTCCTTAATTTAGTTAATTAATTCCCATTATATGGCTCCATTTAAGTAAGATTTAAATTAATTAAAAACTGTCACTCAAAATGTTGTGCAGAAGCGAGATCGGCTCCTGCCGTGAGAAAATTATTCAGTAACTGTTTGGACACAGGAAGGATAACATCTAGGAGTTAAGTGCTGTTATATTATATCTATTATGTTCTGTTGTAGTATGTTAGTCTGTGGAGACATAATTTTATTTTGATTTACATGTGATTGCCCATCTGTTGATTGATATATAATACTGATAATTAACTGAAATATATTTCTAATACACATTTATTTTTATATGTGTGATTAATTATTCCTAAGGGGGTGATTAATTTTAATTCTTGCCTGTACAAACCATGGGATTATACTGGTGACACACCTTGAGATTGCAGCATCGGTAAATGTCCCTAGACTACAATATTTTGTTGCTGTTACGTGTCACGAGCATTAATGTACGGTTTGTAACAGTAAGTGAACAGGGAATTCATATTAGCAAGACATGATAACAATTCCTGGGGACGGTATGAAAGGAGGGGAGAGATTGTCACGGGAGGATTACAAGACGTTACGGGTTAGCCTTTATACATAAGTATTCATGAATAAAATATAAAGCATCCTATACCAAAATAAGTATCAAAACCTTGTCTCTGTGGTATACATCAAACAGTACCAGCATATAAATTACTGTCATGACAAGAGGATAATGCAATGAACAATAATGAAATGGATATTACACAGTATTCATGCTAGTAATACATCAGAGACCCTAATGTATACATTCTGCATCATATTACCCATAGCATGTCCTATACAGCATGCTATGGTGTTTTCCAAGCTACATGACATTAGGCTACTGCTATTTACCATACTTCCGATATATCCACAAATACGTGGCAAGGACTTAAGGTACAGAAATATAATATGCATAGGTATATTTGACATATATTGGTAATACACAAATTCTACTAGTATATTGTCAAAACAAGAATAGATAAATAATATAATATTTGTGATACTAGGCTAATCAACCAAGATATTACTTTACAGTTTGAACACATCATACACCAGCCACGGTATAATCATACTGGTGTATGTGTGGTCATAACAAGGTTGCACCACAACCCTCCAGCACCACCTCTCGAGGTAACATAGGAGAGTTAACATCACTGAGCTTTCGCTGTTCTTCTCTCACTATCCAGTTCTTCCTTGTACTACCTCGGGAGTCGACGGGACACTTCTCTTCGTTAAAATACAAGAACTGTTCGATATTACCCTCTCTGGAGGCCTATTCCTCTTCAGAACTGGTTGATACCTGGTTGATGGGGTTCTGGGAGTTCTTCTACTCCCCAAGCCCGGCCCGAGGCCAGGCTCGACTTGTGAGATATGTAACTGGGGAACTGGGGATGTAACTGGGGAACGCTGCAACTCACCTCCACACAGTCTCACCCCTGGTAGGAAGGGATAGCAGATTTTCTGACTTTACCACTACCCGGCCAAGTTCCCGTCACCAACCAGTCACGTTCCACCTGAGGTTATACATACACTCCTCTGTGGGTCTCCTCGAGCGAAAAACCTTCTCCCTCCCGAGGCGTAGCATCATTTTAATGGTTACGCCACTATCAAGCCTTTTCCCAAATAAAACTAAAATTGATATTTCTTGTAATTGTGACATCATGCCTCCTTTAAGGAGTTATAAATCCAAACTAGTACTTGGCGCTTTTCCTGATAATTCCCGGCCCCACTCCTTCCAGTGCAGTACACTCAAACTTCATGATTAGCCTATTTTGGGGTACTGAGTCGAAAGCCTAAATAAGGTGAAGAGGGACCAGATCATAATTTCTGCTGTTACTGAGTGCCTCAAATAGGACTGCATAACAAGAATGTAGGAAAAGGATGAGGGGAAAATCACTCATGCAAGAAACAATGCTGAGTGCCCATTATCTTGTCAAGGTATCAGAGAGTTTTCCTATAAAATTCGCTATTAATTCCTATTGCAACTTTACCATCATCAACCATACAAGCAGCTGGGAGAATCCTTGTGATGGTTGATTTGTGGCAGATGCCTATCGATGGGATAAAGAGTTTCTCTGTTTACTTCTTTAGTCATCTGCTAAATACATCATGTGGACCTTTTCCATTAATTTTAGTTTATTCGTAAATTGTTAATTACATCAGTTATAATTTTTTGGGATACTAATTAATTTTATTAATTCAACAGTAAGAGATAAAGGATGTTACACATTATTCGTTTCTAGAAGGGTTCTTTGTTGCTTTATAGATTACCTTACAGTAATTCGATTTAAATGTTGATATCATCTGATAAATTTATATTTAAAAAGTTCTGTTCCTAAATATGTCCATGATATGGCAGCAATACCCACACTACTTACGCTTTTGAGTACTTTGTATGTGGCACATTATGGGTCAATAATTTTCTATGACGAACATTATGACAAAATAAACTTTATCTATAATTTAACATTGCAGTAATTTCAAACGTAAAAAATAAGAATATTTAGATCCTTGCAAGTTTCAGAGAGCGTTGCACAAGCATATTCACATTCCTAAGTTTAGATGGACTTCAGTGTGTGTTACCCTGAGGCACATGGCAGTCCAGTGGGCAACGTGTGCATCTGTTGTGATCTATAACGGGGGTTTCAATCCATTGATCTGCTCCCCAAAATTTGTTATACATATATAACGCTAATATGATTCACTTGAGTATTTGATGCTAAAACTTAGTGGTGAATCTCAATACAAGAGTGCATATGCAGGTAACATGTACATATTGGTTTGGAATGAGTTCAGTGCCTCCAATGTTTTTCTATGTGTGGGTGGACTTTAGGTTGTGTTACTTTAAGGACGCACATCATGGTCAAGTGGGTAATGTGTGATTCTGGGGTTACCTGGGGCACTGCTTCGATTCCACCTCCAAAGTTCCTCCCATTATATAGGGTACTGTATGGAGTCTATGCGTAATATACTGTCGTTCTACACACAACTTAAATGAAGGTATTGTAATGAGAGTTCCTAGAATATTGCGGCAGGTAATGTATTAGCACTTACCATAGAACATTACAGCAGATGTATCACTCTCCTCTGTGTACTTCATAAGGCACTGTACTCCACAGAACAACATCACGAGGGACGCAATTGCCAGCTTCTCTCCCAGTGGTTATTTCTGGATCCTTGGCTCCGACGTGGTCACCGAAGGCACCTGGATGAACCCAGACACAAGTGAGTCTCTTAACTATGTTTAATGTCTTCATCTTATTCATCGTAATTACGAGAACAATCATCTTCAGATTAATGAAATGAGTTATGTCGCAGACAGGCGGCCTGTTTGTATAAAACCCACACCTATATATATATACATATATATATATATATATATATATATATATATATATATATATATATATATATATATATATATATATATATATATATATATATATATATATATATATATATATATATATATATATATATATGTCGTACCTAGTTGCCAGAACGCACTTCTCAGCCTACTATGCATGGCCTGATTTGCCTAATAAGCCAAGTTTTCATGAAATAATGTTTTTTCGACTACCTAACCTACCTAACCTAACCTAACCCAACTTTTTCGGCTACCTAACCTAACCTAACCTATAAAGATAGGTTAGGTTAGGTTAGGTAGGGATGGTTAGGTTTGGTCATATATCTACGTTAATTTTAACTCTAATAAAAAAAAATGACCTCATACATAATGAAATGGGTAGCTTTATCATTTCATAAGAAAAAAATTAGAGAAAATATAATAATTCAGGAAAACTTGGCTTATTAGGCAAATCGGGCCTTGCATAGTAGGCTGAGAAGTGCATTCTGGCTACTAGGTACGACATATATATATATATATATATATATATATATATATATATATATATATATATATATATATATATATATATATATATATATTTATATATATATATATATATATATATATATATATATGTCGTACCTAATAGCCAGAACGCACTTCTCAGCCTACTTTTCAAGGCCCGATTTGCCTAATAAGCCTAGTTTTCATGAATTAATGTTTTTTCGTCTACCTAACCTACCTAACCTAACCTAACCTAGCTTTTTTTGGCTACCTAACCTAACCTTACCTATAAATATAGGTTAGGTTAGGTTAGGTAGGGTTGGTTAGGTTCGGTCATATATCTACGTTAATTTTAACTCCAATAAAAAAAAATTGACCTCATACATAGTGAAAAGGGTAGCTTTATCATTTCATAAGAAAAAAATTATAGTAAATATATTAATTCAGGAAAACTTGGCTTATTAGGCAAATCGGGACTTGAATAGTAGGCTGAGAAGTGAGTTCTGGCTACTAGGTACGACATATATATATATATATATATATATATATATATATATATATATATATCGTACCTAATAGCCAGAACGCACTTCTCAGCCTACTATTCAAGGCCCGATTTGCCTAATAAGCCAAGTTTTCATGAATTAATGTTTTTTCGTCTACCTAACCTACCTAACCTAACCTAACCTAGCTTTTTTTGGCTACCTAACCTAACCTTACCTATAAATATAGGTTAGGTTAGGTTAGGTAGGGTTGGGAAGGTTCGGTCATATATCTACGTTAATTTTAACTCCAATAAAAAAAAATTGACCTCATACATAGAGAAAAGGGTTGCTTTATCATTTCATAAGAAAAAAATTATAGTAAATATATTAATTCAGGAAAACTTGGCTTATTAGGCAAATCGGGCCTTGAATAGTAGGCTGAGAAGTGAGTTCTGGCTACTAGGTACGACATATATATATATATATATATATATATATATATATATATATATATATATATATATATATATATATATATATCGTACCTAGTAGCCAGAATGAACTTCTCAGCCTACTATGCAAGGCCCGATTTGCCTAATAAGCCAAGTTTTCATGAATTAATTGTTTTTCGACTACCTAACCTACCTAACCTAACCTAATCTAACTTTTTCGCCTACCTAACCTAACATAACCTATAAAGATAGGTTAGGTTAGGTTAGGTAAGGTTGGTTAGGTTCGGTCATATATCCACGTTAATTTTAACTACAATAATAAAAAATTGACCTCATACATAATGAAATAGGTAGCTTTATCATTTCATAAGAAAAAAATTAGAGAAAATATATTAATTTAAGAAAACTTGGCTTATTAGGCAAATCGGGCCATGCATAGTTGGCGGAGAAGTGCGTTCTGGCTACTAGGTACGACATATATATATATATATATATATATATATATATATATATATATATATATATATATATATATATATATATAAATATATATATATATATATATATATATATATATATATATATATATATATATATATATATATATATATGTCGTATCTAGTAGCCAGAACGCACTTCTCAGCCTACTATGCAAGGCCCGATTTGCCTAATAAGCCGAGTTTTCATGAATTAATTGTTTTTCATCAACCTAACCTAACCTAACCTAACTTTTTTGGCTACCTAACCTAACCTAACCTATAAAGATAGGTTAGGTTAGGTTAGGTAGGGTTGGTTAGGTTCGGTCATATATCTACGTTAATTTTAACTCCAATAAAAAAAAATTGACCTCATACATAATGAAATGGGTAGCTTTATCATTTCATAAGAAAAAAATTAGAGAAAATATATTAATTCAGGAAAATTTGGCTTATTAGGCAAATCGGGCCTTGCATGCATAGTAGGCCAAAAAGTGCGTTCGGGCTACTAGGTACGACATATATATATATATATATATATATATATATATATATATATATATATATATATATATATATATATATATATATATATATATATATATATATATATATATATATATATATATATATATATATGCGAACAAGCCTGAATGGTCCCCAGGACAATATGCAACTGAAAACTCACACCCCAGAAGTGACTCGAACCCATACTCCCAGGAGCAACGCAACTGGTATGTACAAGATGCCTTAATCCACTTGACCATCACGACCGGACAAAATGAGGTGATAGCCGAAGCTATTTGAACCACCCCACCGCCGGCACTCGGATGGTAATCTTGGGCATAGCATTTTACCAAATCACCTCATTCTTTGGGGCACACGTGAGGAACACAAATGCGAACAAGCCTGAATGGTCCCCAGGACAATATGCAACTGAAAACTCACACCCCAGAAGTGACTCGAACCCATACTCCCAGGAGCAACGCAACTGGTATGTACAAGATGCCTTAATCCACTTGACCATCACGACCGGACAAAATGAGGTGATAGCCGAAGCTATTTGAACCACCCCACCGCTGGCACTCGGATAGTAATCTTGGGCATAGCATTTTACCAAATCACCTCATTCTTTGGGGCACACGTGAGGAACACAAATGCGAACAAGCCTGAATGGTCCCCAGGACAATATGCAACTGAAAACTCACACCGCAGAAGTGACTCGAACCCATACTCCCAGGAGCAACGCAACTGGTATGTACAAGATGCCTTAATCCACTTGACCGTCACGACCGGACAAAATGAGGTGATAGCCGAAGCTATTTGAACCACCCCACCGCCGGCACTCGGATGGTAATCTTGGGCATAGCATTTTACCAAATCACCTCATTCTTTGGGGCACACGTGAGGAACACAAATGCGAACAAGCCTGAATGGTCCCCAGGACAATATGCAACTGAAAACTCACACCCCAGAAGTGACTCGAACCCATACTCCCAGGAGCAACGCAACTGGTATGTACAAGATGCTTTAATCCACTTGACCATCACGACCGGACAAAATGAGGTGATAGCCGAAGCTATTTGAACCACCCCACCGCCGGCACTCTTCTGGTGATAGCTTCGGCTATCACCTCATTTTGTCCGGTCGTGATGGTCAAGTGGATTAAGGCATCTTGTACATACCAGTTGCGTTGCTCCTGGGAGTATGGTTTCGAGTCACTTCTGGGGTGTGAGTTTTCAGTTGCATATTGTCCTGGGGACCATTCAGGCTTGTTCGCATTTGTGTTCCTCACATGTGCCCCAAAGAATGAGGTGATTTGGTAAAATGCTATGCCCAAGATTACCATCCGAGTGCCGGCGGTGGGGTGGTTCAAATAGCTTCGGCAATCGCCTCATTTTGTCCGGTCGTGATGGTCAAGTGGATTAAGGCATCTTGTACATACCAGTTGCGTTGCTCCTGGGAGTATGGGTTCGAGTCACTTCTGGGGTGTGAGTTTTCAGTTGCATATTGTCCTGGGGACCATTCAGGCTTGTTCGCATTTGTGTTCCTCACGTGTGCCCCAAAGAATGAGGTGATTTGGTAAAATGCTATGCCCAAGATTACCATCCGAGTGCCGGCGGTGGGGTGGTTCAAATAGCTTCGGCTATCACCTCATTTTGTCCGGTCGTGATGGTCAAGTGGATTAAGGCATCTTGTACATACCAGTTGCGTTGCTCCTGGGAGTATGGGTTCGAGTCACTTCTGGGGTGTGAGTTTTCAGTTGCATATTGTCCTGGGGACCATTCTGGCTTGTTCGCATTTGTGTTCCTCACGTGTGCCCCAAAGAATGAGGTGATTTGGTAAAATGCTATGCCCAAGCTTACCATCCGAGTGCCGGCGGTGGGGTGGTTCAAATAGCTTCGGCTATCACCTCATTTTGTCCGGTCGTGATGGTCAAGTGGATTAAGGCATCTTGTACATACCAGTTGTGTTGCTCCTGGGAGTATGGGTTCGAGTCACTTCTGGGGTGTGAGTTTTCAGTTATATATATATATATATATATATATATATATATATATATATATATATATATATATATATATATATATATATATATATATATATATATATATATATATATATATATATATATATATGTCGTACCTAGTAGCCAGAACGCACTTCTCAGCCTACTATGCAAGGCCCGATTTGCCTAATAAGCCAAGTTTTCATGAATTATTATTTTTTCGACTACCTAACCTACCTAACCTAACCTAACCTAACTATTTCGGCTACCTAACCAAACCTAACCTATGAAGATAGGTTAGGTTAGGTTAGGTAGGGTTGGTTAGGTTCGGTCATATATCTACGTTAATTTTAACTCCAATAAAAAAAAATTTACCTCATACATAATGAAATGGGTAGCTTTATCATTTCATGAGAAAAAAATTAGAAAAAATATATTAATTCAGGAAAA